ATGTAAACATGCAGAAAATCGCTGATGTTAGAACCAAATGCTGAATGTACAGGCACAACACTACAATAGAGCAGCTATCCTATCATGTGTCTGTAGCTTGGACTTTAGAGATCAGATGGTAACAGGTTGCTCCAATGCACTATGAGCTACTCCATTCTGCAAAAGTCAGGAGTTGTGCCGTTCTTGTAGTCTCAGTATTAAGCAGGTTTTAGGTTACTAGAGTAGGATCCAGGGAAGGTTTCTCTCCAAGGCAGATGGACAAGAAATGTTGGGTTTATTGAGGATTTTTTGCTGTTCTGAGTACGGTGGGGTGTATTGTGCTCCTTGGAGAATGCACTAATCTCGGTCTTAACTAGTAGCAATAGCTCTTTTCTTATAGCTATTGTCTTCGAGGCTTTGATACCCTGCTCCCACTCTCATAATGGTGGGAAAGATATTATATGTCATGGCATAAGGAAGATATTTTGTGGCTTTTTGTTTTATAAAAGTATTTGAAAGAAAAGGAACAGGTCTCAGTGATCCAGTGAGTCCCTTTCAGAGCATTGTTGCTAATTTGCCATATGAGTTTGATGCATGTACCAAGATCTCTAGCAAGTATCATGAGAGCTCTGCCTTTTTTTTGTTTCTGTAATAATAAGAGCATTGATGAGGGCTAGACAGCTTTCTTCCTTTTGTTGTATTATTTTTTCTTCCTTTTTATATGTAGCTATTTGCATAGTTTGTTATGCGTCCATTATATAGTTTCTCAGCAGATAAATTAAGATCTCAATCCATGCAATGCTTAGTAGAAATCTGAAGGCCTGACAACTGAGAACTTTCCATTTGTTAAAGACATCATAGATTTTAAAATGTGAGAAATATTGTAATTAAAACAAGAAATGCAACACAAGTCATGTAAGATTCATCATCTGTCTTCTTTCTACCTGAGATATAGTCAATGAATAAAAATAGCTTTAAATAGTCAGTAATGTGATTCAGAGACTGAAACATAACCATTTTCAAAGGACAGCTAAACGGAAGTTAGGCATTTCAGTTGTAAAAAGTTTCCTTTGTTCTCTTCACTTTGGTCCTTTGAAATGTAGTTACATGAATAACATGTAAACTAGAGTTTGAGGGAGCGGTTTAATGTATAGTTGCACAGTTATGGAGCTGAGCTTACGTTTGGATAAACATTTATTTATTGGAATTTTCCATGTTTGCTGTTAACTTCACAGAAGCTACAAGGATTACTTTAGCTCCGTTGAATGTTGATGTCACCGTTGGAGAGAATGCTACCATGCAATGCATTGCATCCCATGATCCCACATTAGACCTGACATTTATTTGGTCTCTAAATGGCTTTGTAATAGATTTTGAGAAAGAGCACGAACATTATGAAAGGAATGTTATGGTAAGATACTATAGATCCTTATTTAATACGTGAAAGCCTAGTTTTCTTTATTGTGAATAGCTGTCTTTTCTGGTTTACTTTTTCTGTTGTGTTGGTTCAGATCTAGAAAGATGCAGTAAACTAAGAATATAAAATAAAATTACAGTTTAGACCGCTTACAGACATGTAGACACTTGCAGGGAGATACCTGAAATCAGATATCTAAGTTGACGTAAGTATTTTGGTACCTCAGTTAAATCCTACTCTGAGTAATAGTGAATATAGCTGGTAAGTAGATAGCCTGATTGTAAACAGGGTACAAAATATCTCAAAAAAAAAGTGTGCATATGCATTCACTTTTACTTACCCATGTTTTTCTCATCAACATTTCTGGAATTTGGCACACAACCGGGCCAGATGGTGGGTAGGAGTCAAACAGTCTGTAAACACTGAGCAAGAAGAGTTTGTGTGAAGGCCAAACAAGTTAATACAAAGACACTCATTTTGGCACACAGAAAGAGGAATCATAGATCATTTGTGCTTGCATACATGGTTATCTTTTTACAGTCTTCCATCGGGCTTATTCAAAATTAATACCTCAAGTAGATATCCCCTCTTGTTAAACCTAATCACATGCTGATTAACTTAATATTCAGCAACAACCTCAGCGTGGTTGCCTACATGTGTATATATTTATTCTGTTGTTCTGGGTGTAAATGATACAAAAATCCTCAAATTTAGATCCCCCTTTTTTTTTTGTAGTCCCAAGAGGAGCTGCAGATGTGGAGAGAAAAGGTTGCTAATAGTGCTCGTAGTGCTCAGGAATGCCAGGAGTCATGTTCAGTTTCAGCTCCATGTTCAAAATGAGGTACCATGTAAGAGTGCCTCCTGCAGAGTCTTTCTGCTAGGCTGGCAACATTATTTGATTTTCCATGGACGAAGAGATTCTTCTTCTCTCTTTCTTTTTCAATATCTGCTTGTGTCCATGTGAGGAGATGTTTCAAGCATACCAATTTTAGTTTGATTTGGAACAAACCATTCCTTTGAGGAGTCAGAGTTGCCTGAGCCTGCTCATTTGCTGAGTTAAACATCTCTCAGAAGTCACGCTGCTCTCTGTCAGTGAGAGAACAAGTCCTTGTTCAACAAGCCAGTAGATCAACATAAAAACATTAAAACCCGAAGACATAAAGCCTTTTCTGCAATAAACCTCCTGAAAGTCTATGTTCAAACTTAGTAGCAGGGTACTAAGCAGTTTCCAGTGTATTTTATGTTGTCTCAGGAATTAAAAAAATATGTAAGTCTACACTAATATACTAGCATCATTGCATCATTCAAAACAATTCCTGCATGTGGCTATTAAACCACGCTGTTGGTAGTTTTATATTTACATTTTGGTACTAATCAGTGCATAGGAGTACCTTGAAAAAGCTTGGATTGCCTCCTAATGGCATTAGTTTGTCCTTAGATAAAGGCTGAAATGAGTCTGAGTGTCAGTCAAAATAAAAGCTTAAACAATAAAACCCCATTAAATGTATTCCTTGTAAAACAGCAAATAAAACCACTCTGGTTTTGTCAAATTTTATTTAGTTGGTTGCTTCTAACTACCTGACAGAAGTCACACAAAGAAATTGTGTTCCATGAAACAAAATCAGACTGAAACTGTTGATGAGTCCATGATTTTGGTGTGGGAGGAAGGTAAAAATGCCTTTACCAGACGACTTTATAATGCAAGACTGTGCGATGCAAGAGAAAGGATCTCAAACTTTCTCCATCTGTTGGTCATATGTTGAAGAAAGTTTTGATATTATTGACATAGTATTGACATTACGTTTTCCTCTTAATAATGGAAATAGAGGGAAATTGGATTTATTTTTTTTAGGAGAAATTAATTCTGAAATATAATCTAAATTCTATAGTGCTTTTTAGCAAAGCACTTCAAGTAAACAAATCTGCGGCCTCAGCAAGTGTGTAAGGCATAATTCTCTCTGAAGGTTGATTTAATATTTAGGATCTCAGCCATTAGTTTCATCTTTCAAGGACAGCCAGTGGTCCTAGATCTGGATCACCTGAGCCCAAATTCTGATTAACGCCACAATATTTTAGACACTTTATTGAGGTGCTCGATTTTAAAAACCAAATTAGCCTAGCCTAGCTTGGTCTCCACAGACCTTCTGTGGTCTGCAGAGAGATAAAGCGGTGGTTCACTTAATATGGGCACTGAATCTTGTGCTGGAAGATTTCCTTTTTCTAGAGATTATATAGATGGATGCTCAAGTAACTGAAGAGTGTGTAAATCCAAACATCAATTAATTTATTTGTCAGTGTGTAACTCCATCTTCCTGAGGGATATTTCTTGGTTTGTTGTGTAATTTTTGCACTCAATCAATACTGGTAGAAATGATTGAAGCAGAGGCAGCTTCTTGTTCTGCATTCCTGAGCCTTATTTCTAGGCTTTCAAATGCAAAGCAAGCACAGATAATCTCTATTCCTTTTCCACAGGCAGCTCAGCCTTCCTCACTCAGGACAGAGGGAACAGTAGGTTTGCCTTTGAAGTCTGGCATTGTGGTTTGTAGTTATTCAGCGATTCAGCACTTAAGTAATAACAAATGCAGAATTTTTAGCAAATTCAACACATCCAATATAAAGGTTCATATAAGACGTAATTAAGAGGAATATACACTTTTAATATTTCTGTTTAATTAATTTATTATCGTAATCGTACATTAAGGGGCTTTCTCCTTCCTGTGTGAACAGGGATTTTCTCCTTCCTACAACTTCCATCTCTCTGGCAGTTCTGAGCTCAAGTCACTGGATGGCAGGTTTGCTCAGGCTTTCTCAGATGCAAAGGGTTGAGCTGCTGTGCATTTGACAGCAGCAGCCCTAACTGCAGGGTTCGAACCAGTGGAGTCCCATGCTGCCACTCAACCCTTCACAAACATAAAAGAAAAAAGTATTCCATCATGAATATTAAAATTACTGGATATGCAATGCATGCTCTCTGTGCTCTAATTTCCTGTTGATGAAGGATCCTCATCTGTCTTCCTGATAATATCGCCATTAATTTATGTGACAATGCAGATAAACATGCAGAAACCTGATACAGCCACGGTATTTCAGTTATCAAAATAATACGAATATTGTTGTCACGTACACATAATGGAATGATAATGAAATTCATGTAAATACCTGCATAAATCTTCTTGCTTTAAATGAAAGCTTTGGTATCTCCATCATTTGCTGAAGGCAAAACTAATTTACATTACATTAGTACTAAAACTCATTTATCAAAAGAACATTTGTCAGTGCTGTTTTGATTTCCTGTGACAGTGATATTTAAAATGAAAAATATATATTAATTGTTTAGCTTTCAAAGAGTCGAATGGAGTCTTCAAAATCTTACTATTAAATTAATTGCATTTGACTTTATGTATGGTTGTTCCTCTGGTTATTTGTTTCAGAAACTAAACATTAAGACTTCCTTTCAAGTCCCATTGAGATATAGCACTTCAAGTAATCTGGAAAACTAATGTCTGGTCATTTGTTATTTGTGGTTCTGCTTATTGTCCTGTATATTTAAAGATTGGAAAGCTTAATTTTAATATATATTTTAAAAATACATACACTATCCAAATAAGTATATTCATTTATTACAAAAATTCTTTTCAATATGTGTGTAACTATTTTTTAATACTTTTGGACACACTAGTCCATTTGTATGGATAGTCAGGAAGAGGAGTTCCGTATTTTGACTGGTTCAAGTCAGAAACTTTTATACATGCACTTAGGAAGAGTTCAAATGTAGGCTGTAATAGTCTTAGTTGCGTATAGACATGCATACATTTTAAATACTTTCCATGCAATAAATATTCCTGTGTTTGCTACATTGTTTATTAGTTGTCTTAAACAATATCATGAACCTGAAACTCTGATATTTTTTCACCATTTTAGCTTTAATAAGTTAAAATAAATTGCTGCACAAGTGTGCAGGAACTTGGCCTGCTTGCAAATAACTTTCTTTTGTAAGAATTAAAAGAAAGAGGAAGCAGTGATAGAAAAATATGATAAGGCTGGATGATTAATTTTGTCATAGAGACAATTGACTTGTTGCTTGATCATATTTTCTCATACTAGCAGTGAGATTACCAAAAGAACATAAGGAAAAACTGTATTTGGGTATCTGAGACCCTTTTCTTACCTACCAAAATGCAGACCTGTATCACCCTATCATGTAATATCTGTATCGTTTCAAGTACCTGGTTGAAGTGGTTTGTAAGTTCTGTTCTTGGCATCCAGTGTGTTTTTTTACATCTAACAGAGGGTACTATCCTTATTTTTGCTTCATATAGCTTCAAGGCTTCATGTTGCTTTATGATCATAATTTATCAGTGGTGCTCCCCTCGAGATGTTGAGTTCCTCTCTCCTATGCAAAAAACAAAATAAAGCCAGCAAAAAAAAAGAATTCCAAAATGGTAGGTGCAAAATTGAAGTGACCAAGACTATTTATAAGAGAAACCTGCAGCTCATTGCTTTATTTTTTTTTTCAGATAAACTATATTTTTTTAAATTGTGAGAATTTTGGAATTCTCTTAAAATTTTTTGCGTGTCCAAGATTCTTGGTTTCTATTGTTTGTTACTTGAGTTTTGTTACAAAATTTACATCTTGCATTTGAAAAATCTTGAAGAGTAGAAAACAATCGTTCTGTTCCTATCTTAAAAAGTGAACAATCATAGATGCAGGCCTAGGGAAGCTAGGAGCCACCATCCATCAAGTTATTCAACATATTTGGACCGAAGAAGGCCCTGAGCAACCTATTGCAGTCAACACTGCATTGAGCAGAGAGGTGGGACAAGACACATACAGAGATCCCTTCTGACTTCAGCTGTTGTGTGATTCTGTGATGGTTTAATACAGTTATGGAAAAAAATATAGTTAAATGAAGTGCATCAAAGATGGTATTGAGAGTTGAAAGCAGAAGGCAGCAGCATGTTGCTCAGCCAATACATTTACATGCTGGTGCACA